CTGTGCATCTACACCCCCCCCCAGCACCCCCAGGGAGTGAGTGGCAGGATAAAGCTCTCACCCTGCTTTCCCTCTGCAGGCCTCACACTGTCATGCAGCCCTGGCCACTGTTTAGAAATCAGAAGGGAAGCTTCTGGCTGGGGCAGGAAAACCAGGGTCCTGGCAGGAGAGGAGGCCACTGCCGGAAATTGAACACAATGACCATTTAGCATTGGCCTGGGGGAGGGGGCAGGGAAGTCCCTGTCTCTTCTGCCAATGCCTCCCTCCCACTCCCACCTTGGGGTTGATTTCCTGGTGGCAGTACCTGGCCTAGCTGACTCTGTCCTGGTGTGAGGTCCCTTCCACTCTGGAAACCACCAGACTGTTTCTGCTGCTCCCACCAAGCCTGGGGTTGCAAGATGTCAGTCTGCCTCCCATCTCCATTCTAAGCCAACACGCCACTGACCCAGCTTGACCTGCCCCAGTGTGTGCTCTCTGGAGGTCATGAGGTCTGTGCTCCTGCAGACTGCTGCCTCAACCAGGCAAGCGGAATGTATGGATCTGCAGCACTTAGAGGCAGCAGGAGCCACCACCCTGTTCTGCCTGACTTTCATAGACCTCCAGCTCAGATGCTAGCCCTGTCTGCTATGAGGCTGGGGGGCAGAGAGGTGAAGTCTCTGACCTAGATAAATCTGTTGCCAGAAAGGGTCGAAGGCAGCCGGGTCTTGAGCACAAGCTGTGTTCCCTGGGGGGTGCCTGCTGAAGAGCAGGGCAGAGTTGACTTGCAGACAGAGGAAGCCAGCAGAGGTCGGTGACTTATAAGCCAGGCCCTGGTCAGGTGAGTGATGGGGAGGCTTATTTATAGTCCAGAGGAAGGTGAAAGTGCCTCTGACCTGGAGACCCTGAGGACCCTGGAGCCACAGGTTTAGCACAATAGCAAGGGCTTGGTGGAAAGGCCTGAGCTAAGTAATTTGCATGTATTTTGTCCTTTGAGGGTCAGGGCTATTAATAGCCCATTTGACAGATGAAACAACTAATTAGATTGCTCCAAGTCAACAAGCTGGTCAACTGCAGAGGCTGAGGCCAGGCAGCTTCCTCCCTCTGGCAGCTTGCCTATGGGGCCTGAAGGCTGTATGGGTTGGACACAGTGAAGGGGGGCTTCTCCCTCTGGGCTATCTGGTCTCTTGATCACACTGTGAGCAACTCTTCAGCTTAACCCCAGGGCTCTTCTGTTCCTTTGACACTGGAGACCCAGAGGCATGGTCTAAGGGGTGTGTCTGAGTGTCTCTGTGACTGTGTCTACACTATGATCTTCCAGAGGGGCTTCCTAGTTGACTGAAAGGGTGGCCTCCAGGAACTTTGGGGGCCTGTTATATCTGGCCACCACTTGGGCCCTCAGGACCCCCTGGTTGCATCCTTCCCATGTTCCTCAGAGGCACTGTAGGAAAGGAGGGGCCAGGCTAACAGGTACTGGCCCTCATTCCATGGTTGGACCCAATTTCCAGGCCTCTGGGTAGATTTATTACTGGCCTTCGGATCTGAGGGAGCCAGTGGGGTTAGTTTCAGAAGGCTGTACCCAGAAGGTGTAGTGCTGCTGTGCTGTGACCTCCCTGGCCTGAAGCTGTGCCTCCAGCAGGACCACAAATGCCATGTTCCCAAGACATACACCCCCAGGGGAGTGAGCCCGCTCCATCCAGAGAGAGAGAGAGAGAGAGGGAGAGAGAGAGAGAGGGAGAGAAAACACCTGATGCAGAGCTTTGAGCAGACCCAGATCTCCTGAGAAAGGACAGTCTCAGGGTTGCTCACTGCAGGGCACAGGGACCAAGACTGCTGGGCCATGGGTGTTGTGTTGGCCCTGTCCTTTCCCTCGGCTACCTTCGCCTGCGGTCACACTAGGCAAAAGGCATGCTGTCCTTTTGAACCCAGAGGCGAAGAGCTTGGTCACTTTGAGCCTTAGATCTCCTCCTGCCCTCTGAGCCTCAGTTTCCTCATCTTCACAATGGGCATGATGACATTTCCTTTGAGAGTCCTGGTGTGAACCAAGTATGACAGACAGCCTGACAAGTGTAGTCCACAGTGCCCAGCAGTGCCACTGACAGCTAGCTGGACAGGTCATGGCCAGTTAGTTTTTCTGACCAGATGGCAAAGGAGCCACCTGAGGCTTCAGAATGTCTGGGCTCCTGGGACACATATCCTGGCCCTTGTAGCTCACCTCAGCGTGGCATCACATCATCACAGGCCATTTCCCCAGGATATGTCCTCAGTCTTCAGTTAGAGGCACAGGTGTGAAAGTACTAGCCTGGTCACCTTCCCACCTGCTGCATAGCCTGAGGAAGTCCTTCCTGTCTTCAGTCCCTCCCTTCATCTGTGTGAGCAAGGGCTGGACCCTGCACTGACTCTGGTAGAAGTAACAGGCAGACTGAGGTGTGTCCCCACAGGCTCTGGATCAGATCCCTGTCCTGGCTGATCTTTTCTGGCTCTCCACCTGGGTGCGCCTCTCTACCTGTCCCTTCCTGGCTGTTTCCTCATCAGAGGACCTGGCACGGGAGGTGTGCTCATGCACCGGATGCCCTTGGTCTGTGGTGTGTTGGTCTGGACCTGCAGCTGGGCCTGCCTTGTACTTGAGGGTACAAGACCATGCTCACACCCAGGACTGGTCCTGTGGTCACCGTTTGCCAATAAGAGTTGGTTACAAATGGACAGTAGGGCAGAGTGGACAAGGCTAGTCTCCCCTCCCCTCTTCAACCTCAGTTTCCTCCCTCCTGAAATACTCACAGGTCCAGTGGCAGGACTCGACAGGGAGGGCTCCTGGGGACCTGTATCTGACTCTGTGGGAGATCAGCATGGGCCTAAGACTTCACTTTTTGGGAGCTCCCTTGTTGGCCTCGGCAGCTAGGCGTCTTAGAAGGCAATCCCCAGTTAGAAGAGACGGCCTCTCTGTAGTGCTTGGGGATCACCCAGGGCTGACCCTGAATCCTTGTGGGAGTGCTGTGGTGCTCTCTGCCCTAGGGCTTAGTTTCCTGGACCTCACCTAGAGCAGGGGAGGGCTCTGGTGCTTGGTATTTGCATTCTCCCCCCTCAGTTGGGGCTCGTGGTCCAAGGGCTGAGCCAGGCCTTGGGCTTTAGGGGTCCTGGGTTCTCACCTCAGCCTGGACACTGTCTACTTAGCTCTTCCCCTGGCCTTAGGCTCTACCTCTATAAAATGGAAAGGGTGCTGGGATAGACTGAATCCAAGTAGTCTGAGATGACCAGCCCCCACCCAGTCGTTCCCTGTTTCAGGCAAGGGCCAGGAAACTGAGAAGCTCCCACTGCTGCTGGAGGACTGAGGATAGTCCTCCATAGTCTCAGGTGGGCCTCTGACTGGTCACCAGCCCTGTGTTGTCTGCTGCACTTAGCCAGCTGCAACCCCAACCCTGTCACCTGTAAACTGTTAACTGTTCTCCCATCCCATGGCCAGTTCACTGAGCTAAGCTGAGTGAGGGTCAGGACCCTTCTAAAAGGACAGTGCATGGGTCTGGTGGGCCTGATGGACCTCCCCAGAGGTTCTCAGAGGTCAAGACTGGGCTGGAAGAGTCTTCCTTTGCAGAGACTCCTCTAATCACATCTGGTATCAGTGTCCTGAGCACCCAAGTGGTCAGCAACAGTGTCAGGGTCTCGCACAGGGAACCCCCCACCCCCGGCCACAGATCTGGACTTCAGTCCCTAGCACTGTACAGTGCCAGCTTGCAACAGGCCTTTACTGCTGCCCAATGGAAATGTGCCCTGGCCAGACCAGCCGACAGGATATGTTGAGGCCGGGAGGCAGTAGCCATCCCTGAGCAAGCCACTCCTCAGCCCTGGGCTAGGCTGGCAGCCCAGCAGCTGGCCTGGGCCCTGCATTGGTGTCATGTGATCCCTGTGCCCTTCCCCCACCTGAGGGGCCCCTTCTGCCAGCTGGGTTGGTAGGGGGAGGTGCAGGTGATGAGAGCTGCACATGCCTGCCTGGGGGTGTATGTGGGGGGGTTGACACTGTCACAGAGATGAGGAGTTGCTCGAGCTGTGCAGAGCCAGCCCCATCCTCTCAGTTTCTTTTACACAACCACAGCAGGAATGAACTAGACTGCTCCATGTTGCTGAGTGCCGGGCAACTTTTGCACTAGATACCCAGAGAGGGCCTAGGCAGAAGGTAACTGAGAGGGGACTTTCTCCCTGAGAATCTGCCCTCAGGACACCCTGGGGCAGGGATCATGCAACCCAAGGCTACCTTGGGCTAGCATCTTAGTAAAGAACCCATGTGGGCAGTCCCAGGCACCCAGGGACACTCAAGCAGGCTAGGGAGAAAAGGAGGTGGGGGGAGGTTAGCCTAGTAAGCAGCTGATGTGGCAGCGATGCCTGACTGTCCCTGTCTGCCTGCTTTGGGGGCGGCATCCAGGTAGCCTCTGAGCGATTAGGGAAGAATACCACATAATAGGCTGTGTCCTCAGAGGATCTCCCAGTTCCACCCCCACATGCACAAGCCTTCAGGTTCTGGGATGCCGTTGAGAGCTGTGTCTCTAACACACTCAGGTGAGGGGCCTGAGGGTGGAGGTGTCCTCTGTGAGCAGGGCCCACCCCCCTCACTATCTCTGGGGCATGGATAGCCTAGAACCCCCAGGATGGAGAGAGAAAACATGGCTCGGTGGTAAGTATACCTCATCAGTGTTCTCAGGGTCAGTGGGATGTGTGTCCCCAGCTAAGAGAGAGGGAGCTACGGGCCAAGCGTGATTCCCTTGAGGCAGAATGTCAGGTAGCATGAGGCCCAACAGGGACAGCTCGGGTCCGTTATCTCCTCAGAAGGCATGTGCCTGTGCAGGACAAGGAGAGGCGGCCTCCTCACCTCCTGCTCCAGCTCCCTGCTCCCATGCACACCACCAGGGCCTATTTCCTGGTTCCTTACCTGGGGGCTTCCTTACCCATCCCCCCCTAGCTGGCTCCTCATCCACCAGGCAGGGTGTTAGGAGAATCAAAGGCTCCAGGTCTCCAACAGCAAGCACACTGCTTACCTCAGGAGGGTTGGCAGACATGGCAGAGTTTGGGGCACAAGTCCGAATCATCGCCTCTCTGCCTGTGTAGAGGCTCAGCCCGCTTGGTAGGGTAGGGTGGGTCTAAACCTCCGGGGACCTCATCACACCCACCTGGACTGCTGCCCAGGGTCACTGAGTCCAGGGTGCTGGTTGCTGTAACCCCTGAAGCTTATCTCTCTTGAAGCAACTTTCTGTTTCTATATTGGGGTGGAGGGGTAGCTAACAGTGCACCGTTGGTCTCTGGAGGGAAGTTCCCTGCACTGAAGGCCTAGGGTTGCCTGGGGTGCATGAGTCTGCTTACCCACTGACTTCCAGGAAACAGGGTTGGCCGGCTTTGCAGAGGAGGCGGATGGTCACGAGCGTGGTGGCCACGGCTTTCCCCTTGGTACAAAGCCCAGAATGGGAGGGCAGAGGAAGTAGACTTCTGAAAGCCTCTCCCAGGCCTCCCAGAGCCCAGCAGGGGTGGGCAGCCGAGCCTAGGGTACTGCCCACGGCGTGCTGGCCCCTGGCTCTGCTCCGGGCCCTGGAAAAGAATCTACAGCGGGACTAGGCACTGTCAGCACTTTGACCTGAGCCTCGAGGACCCCACAGTGGTTCCCACAGTTAGCACTGGGCGTGCAGCCAATGTCCCTGAGCCAGGCTCATACCTGCTGACCCCTTGCTGAACTCAGAGGCTGGTTTCTTTACCCTACCCCCCAGGTGTATCTCTTCCCTAAGTATCACAAGGAGTGGGAGCTGGGCTACCGGAGAAGCCCGTTTCCCTTTCTGCCCTGGGCTCTGAGGAGTTAGCCAGACGACTATCCCATTCCCATCCCAACCAGGCCTCATGACCTGGGGTTCTGTGGAAGCTCAACATTGCGGCTCCTCACTCTTCCCCGCTCACGTGAGGAGGAGCAGCCATCTGGGAACTTCTGTGTTACCCAAGAAGGCTCAGAGGCATGAATGAACAGAAAGAAGGGGAAGGAAGTGGCCTCGGATGTGGCTGTCAGGGACACCCCAAAGCTGCCCAGACCCATGATACTGACTCCTGGGCTGGGCCAGGGGAAGCTTCCCACTGCTGCTGGGTCAGCTGGGACAGAGAGAGATGGGGGTAAGGGTAACTCCAGGCCTTGGGCTGTGGGAGCCAGAGCCACCTGTGACTACGTTAAACTTTGGGATGGAGGCTCTGCCACATACGCAAGACAGCTTGACTTAGGTCAGTTGTTCCTGCCTCAGCCTCTACTTACCCTTTTGTGCAACAGCTGAATAACAGTGCCCGCCCTGAGGGAAGATGGTGTGGGGCGCTCTAGTCCCAGGCAGGACCAGGTTGCTGGGGCGGGTTGGCAGCCCTGGGGTCCCATCATGTTCACCTTTAGGTCATGAGGGGAGCTGGTGGGAAGGGGAGTTCTGTCTCTCCCTTTACCCCGCACTGGAGGTCTAGGAGGCTCCTATCTGTGCCCTCCCTGGGACGAGAGTAAGTTAGGGCCATCCCCCTTTGGCAGCACCCTGGCAGATCCCTGATATCCTCTTTGCAGAGCTCTACACAGGAGATCGGCGAGGAGCTGATCAACGGGGTCATCTATTCCATCTCTCTGCGCAAGGTTCAGCTGCACCAGGGAGCCACCAAGGGCCAGCGCTGGCTGGGGGTGAGTGTGGGGAGGCCACAGGGAGCATAGTATCGACTCCCAGGGTTTCTGTTTGATGGCTCCTGCCCTTCTCAGGACTCTGGGCTGACTCTCCACCCCGTAGCCCAGAGTCCAGCCCACACACAAAGGCCCTGCCAGCTTGCTATGTGTGCAGGGAGACACCATTGACTTTGTTTCTCATTTCCCACAAGGCCATGCATGTGTCCTTGCACGTCTTGCTGGGTTTAACACCTGTCCCCAGGTGTCAAGTCTTACCCTAGCCTTACATTTCATCTCGTATGGTCAGACTGCCCCATACTTCAGGCTACTACATATACCTCCCTGCAACTTGCTCTCAGAACAGTCTCGGCCCTTGAGGTAAGAAGCTGGGCCTGACCCAGCCACATAATATTCCAGAGGGAAACCAGCTTCATAGCTGTTGAGCCTCATTGCTGTTGGACCCCGACATGATTTCCCTGTGTGGCCATTGCGGCCTGTTGAGGGAATGTTCTGGGTCCTAAGAGGCCACCCCTACTCCCATAGTAAGCCTGTCTTTTTCTCCCTATGTGGGACTGTTTCGTTTGAACTGTTGTCACTGAGCTGACAAGCTAACAGAAGGTTTCCACACCTCAAGTTCTACCTTAAAATCTGAGATCCAGCCGGGCATGGTGGCCAAGCTTGTAGTCCCAGCACTCGGGAGGCAGAGGCAGGCGGATCTCTGTGAGTTCAAAGCCAGCCTGGTCTACATAGTGAGTTCCAGGACACCTGCGGCTACAGAGAGACCCTGTCTCAAAAAGACAAAAAAAAAAAAAAAAAAAAAAAAAAAAAGAAATTCTGAGACCCTTCTTCCAGAGACACTCATGCCCCAGCTCTGGCCACACACCACTGAGGGCTTGGGATGGGGTCTGAGCTCCAGACCCTGCTTTCCTGAGACAACGGCTCTGCCGCTGACTGCCTTTCCCTCGTCCACCCAGTGTGAGAACGAGTCGGCCCTGAACCTCTATGAGACCTGCAAGGTGCGCACAGTGAAGGCTGGTACCCTGGAGAAGCTGGTGGAGCACCTGGTGCCGGCCTTCCAGGGCAGCGACCTCTCCTACGTCACTGTTTTTCTGTGCACCTACAGAGCCTTCACTACCACTCAGCAGGTGCTGGATCTGCTATTCAAAAGGTGAGCGCCACCTTCAGGCCCAGGGATCCCCTGCTTGGCCAGGTCTTGGGAATGCCTTGTGTCTCTGTGAGTCCCAGTTTGGTGGTGGGCACCCTCATAGGCCATTATCAGGACCAAATTGGATGTACCCTGGCTTGGCCTTCCCAGGCCTACGGGCCCTTCTATAACTTTCCCCTCCCTCCACAAGAAGCTGTTAGTCCAGGAGACTCCACCCACCAAGGCCTTGGGTCAAACAAATCCTCCACTTATAAAGGAGGTTCCAGATGCCATGATTCAGGACACTGCAATCTAAGTCTAGAGCTCAGGGACCCCTGGTGGTAGACTGAGAGACCTCCGGTCCACTGAGGTGTCTGGTTGGGCTCGGTCATTTCACAAACGCAAGTACCTCCTATGTGTGGCATTGGGTCCAGATACTTAGCATAATTCAGTGAAAAGCAGGAGAATCCTGCCATCCTGGGCTCCGTTCCCATTGGGGGGTCAGCCAGTAACACTAGACATCATAAGCAGGTACGGTAGATGTGATGCCCTCACGGCCTCCTCTAGATATGGCTGCATCCTTCCGTACTCCAGTGAGGATGGTGGACCACAGGACCAACTCAAAAAGTGAGTGGACTTTGGGTCAAAAAGGAAGGCACCTGTTTTTGGGGTGGGGTGGTTTGGGGGACTGGAGTTGAGCAGAAGCGAGGTCCTATATTTTTGGTTCCTGCTTGTGGGCTGAGGGTTGGACACGATGCTGAGCATTCAGGGACAGAGGGGAGGTTAGGGGGTTGAGAACCAGCCCCTATGAGAATCTGCCCCTAGGACAGCCCATCCCAGATGACACATGGGCCTCACTCCTTAGTAATGGACACTCATCAGACCCCCAGGGGTTCGAAAGCAGGCTGTACCCTTCAGCAAAACAGACAGCTCATACGTGTCTCACAGAGAATGGGCAGCAAGGTGGCAGCCACTGGTCATGGTTCTAGGAATGCCATCAGGAGTCAGGGATTTCCCTAGAGAGTGGGGAGAGCCGTCCTCCCATCAGTGAGGCCCCCTCTCTCTGTAGCCTTTGCCCAGTTACCAGGCCTGCCACGGCCTAGACAACCAAAGGGACTTGGGCAGGGGTGTGTGGGGACAGGCCACTGGAGTGCCTCAGGAGGGCAGAAGGGGGAGAGATTATGCCTCTGACTCTGTTGCCTGCCCCCCAGTGCCATCTCTTCTATCTTGGGCACCTGGCTGGACCAGTACTCGGAGGATTTCTGTCAACCTCCAGACTTCCCCTGCCTCAAGCAGCTGGTGGCTTATGTGCAACTCAACATGCCTGGCTCAGACCTGGAGCGCCGTGCCCACCTTCTCCTGGCCCAGCTGGAGGACCTGGAGCCCAGTGAGGCTGAATCTGAGGGTGAGGAGCCTGGGGCAGGCACATAGAGCCTGGTAGGAGAGGTCGGTACTGGGCCCCACTAGGAAGAGACTCCAGGGCTGACAGCGGGCCTGGAGCTAGGATGAGCCTTGGACCCAGCAGGTAGTATGCTGTGACCTGGGATGGCCTCTTGTTGTGGGTACAGGGGCTTCTCTGACGGACAGCGGCCCTCTCTGTCTTTGGAAGGACTCTGGGCAAGGCAGCCATGTTCGGTCTTATCTCCTGCAGCTCTGTTACCGGCTCCAGTGCTAACTCTAAAACCAGCTTCAGAGCTAGAGCCAGTTCCGACGCCGCTTCTGGAGCCCAGCCCAGTGGCGGCCCCAGCACCAGCCTCCGAGCTCCATCCAGCTCCCACAGTGCCATTGGTGCCCAGCCTGGTGGCGATACCAGCCTCCGAGCTCCGGCCAGCCCCAGTACCTGCTCAGAAGCAAGAGCCAGCACTGCCTCTAGAGCCTGAGCCATCCCCAGCACCCGCTCCAGAGCTAGAGCCAGCTCTCTCACAGACCCTGGAGCTCGAGCCAGCCACAGCACTGACTCCTGCACTTCTAGAACCTTCCTGGCCTTTACCAGAGGCTGCAGAGAATGGACTGGAGAAGCCTCATCTGCTGCTGTTCCCTCCCGACCTGGTGGCTGAGCAGTTCACGCTGATGGACGCAGTGAGTGCTGGCCGGGCAGGGTGGGGCCAGCTTCCTCTGTCCAGAACTGCTGCTCTCTGGTGCAGAGCCTCTGTCCCAGGGCCAGTCCCAGTTCCAGTGTTGCAAAACACATGACTCGGGTACATTTCTTAGCCCCAAATCATTGATTCCCCTCTTTACTGCAGAGATGGAACACACACACACACACACACTCACAAAATGTAAAGATTAAAGGATTTGGGGCAGACAGAATGGCAGGCCTGACCTGTTAGGGGTGGATGGGTGCTCACCAAGATGCTCTTAGGCCCCTGGGACACCCCTCCATCTGTTCAGGAGGCTTCTCTAACCTCAGCACTTATGAGGTACCTGCTGTGTATTGGAGGCCCCGGCAGACACAGGGCTGGCCTACATAGCAGATGCACGTGCTGGAGGAAAGAGGTACTTTCTGAGATGGGCAGGCCTGAACCACTGGTCTGTGCACTGAGCTTGAGTAGGGAAAACGCCACTCTCCCTGTCCCCGTGTTTTCACCCTGCACTCAGTGGTCAGGTGAAGCGTGAGACTCCCATGGGGCTCAGCCACATCCTCGGTCTGCAAGCTCCAGCCCCTACTACTGGGCTCCAGCCTGGGCCTGTGGACTGTGGCAGGGCCCAGTGACACTGATCCCCTCCCTAGGAGCTATTCAAGAAGGTGGTGCCCTATCACTGCCTGGGCTCCATCTGGTCACAGCGAGACAAGAAGGGCAAGGAGCACCTCGCACCCACCATCCGTGCCACGGTCACCCAGTTCAACAACGTGGCCAACTGCGTCATTACCACCTGCCTTGGGGACCAGAGCACAAAGGCCCCAGACAGGGCCCGGGTGGTGGAGCACTGGATCGAGGTGGCCAGGGTAGGCTGCAGGAGGGGCCCAGGGACCCACTCTAAGGATGTGGGCTGTGGTGGGGGCCCCTGGACACAGTCCTTGCTGGGTACACACCCCTGGACACACAGCTGGGTTTACATTTCTCTCACACTCTACTCTTGAGCTAAGCGGAAACCCTGCTGTGTGAGCCCATGTCCCTGGCATGCTCTCTGGGAGCAACCCTGCATCCATGTCAGGGCTGATCAAGGGCTCAGCCCAGGGCACAGGAAGGCGCTCTCTGCTCGGCTCACAGAGTTCTCACCCCCAGGAGTGCAGAATCCTGAAGAATTTCTCCTCCCTCTACGCCATCCTCTCTGCTCTACAGAGCAACGCCATCCACCGTCTGAAGAAGACGTGGGAAGAGGTGTCCAGGTGGGTACCTCACTTAGTGGAAGCTGTGAGTCTCTCCCTCCCCCTCCCAATGCCCCTGGCTGACTTTACCCTCAGTGAGCCTCACAGCAAAGTCCGAGGGTGGGGCTCCTGGTGGGCACAAGTTAGTGTGCATACCCTCACTGGAGCCAGGTGAGAGATTTTGTGTTTGTACTTAGCCACAGAATTGAACAGTTGAAATCAAAACAGAGTGTTGGGTAGAAATGGGGGAGGACCCCCCATTGTGTAGCTTGAAGACCCTGCCCCAGCACATCCCACACGCCTGTAACATGCAGTAGAACTAATTTGGAAACCCCTTGTCCAGGTTGTTTAGAATCTTTATTCTAAAAGAAAATGGCTTTGTACTCATACCTGCCCTCTCCCACCCCTTCCCTCTCCGCCCTTCCCTCAGGGACAGCTTTCGAATATTCCAGAAACTGTCAGAGATATTCTCAGATGACAACAACTACTCCTTGAGCAGAGAACTGCTCATCAAGGTGAGGGGAGGACACGCTGAGGGAAGAGAGAGGGCGGGGTTGGGGGATAGTGGACAGGGAGTGGAGGGGAATTAGTTCATCACTGAAAGTTCTATGCAAACTCTAATCCCGGAGGAAGGGAAGAGGGTTGTCTTTGGCCCTTGGGCAGGTGGGGAGCATTTGAAGGAATAAGAGGCCCTGGTCTTGAACGCAGTGAGGAGGCCAGGTTCTGCAGGGAGATGAGAAGGCTGGACTAGCAAGCTTCTCTCTGGCTTCTAGTTGGGATTTAGCCACAGCCTCGCTGGTGGAAGTGGGACACAGCACCCTTCTCCTAGCCAGCCCAGCCTGTTGCCGTGAGGCCAGGCCCATGCCACTAGGCACTGCACACCCCTGGGGACAGAAGCCACCAGGGATGGGGATGATCCTCAGTTCCAAAGGCCCCAGACCCAGGGTTCAGGTCTGGCTGTACAGGAGGTGCTGCCTGCTGTCCTCAGCCCACTGCCCTAGAGAAGGTACTGACTGGCTGATGAACTCACCGTCAGTCCCTTCTGCCTCACCATGACGCTTCTATGTTTAAAAAAAAAAGGTCGGGCGTGGCGGTGCACGCCTTTAATCCCAGCACTCGGAGGCAGAGGCAAGCGGATCTCTTGTGAGCTCAAGTCCAGCCTGGTCTACATAGCAAGTTCCAGGACAGCTGGGGCTACAGGGAGACCCTATCTCAAAAAGACCAAAAAAAAAAAAAAAGGCAGTATCAGCCCCACGCCCCTGGAATACTGGTCAAGCAGAGCTGGCCCCCAGGGAGCCCTAGATCCTGGATGGACAAAGGCAGAGTTCTCTGTTGGGGAACACTCTGCAGGGGCCCGTGGAGATGGGGAGCTTTTGGTCTCAGGCCCCACCCGGGGGCCAGACAGGCAGGAGCTTGAGCACCTTGTGCCTCTCCCTTCACAGCTCAGCTTAGCTAGAGATTCCGGCCCATACTGAGGGGCCAGAAGACAGGACCCAGTCAGTGGCCAGGTAGGAACAGTACCTGCACAAGAGTGTCCAGGAGTCAGCAGGGCTCAGCTACAGGAAGGAGTCGGGACAGTACTGGGGCCAGACAAGAGGCAGGTGCAGGAGAGGATGCAGGTGTGGGGAGGCCAGGCCTGGGGTCCCCCGCCAGTGACAGAACAGGAGCGTGATCTATATTCATCACATGGGGCAACAGGGCATGTTGGTCCAGCCAACCAAGGGACCTCCAGACCCAAGGTCAACACTAGAGGGACACAGGGAGGGAGGTCTCAACTGACTGCATCCTCTACCCTGGCAGGAGGGTACCTCTAAGTTTGCCACTCTGGAGATGAACCCCAGGAGAGCCCAGAGGCGGCCGAAGGAGACGGTGAGCGACCTGGGGGTTGGGAGAGGAGGGGGCGCTCTTGGCCTTTCTCTCCCATGGCATCTGGCCAAGTAACCACCTACATCTTAGCGTTAAGCTGTATCACCAGAGCCAGGGTCTGGCAAGAACTTTTGGGGAGGGGTATGAGCAGGGGCTGAATCATCTGCCCAGGGGGTGTCAGCCTGGGGGTGGAACTTGGGGAGAGGTGGTTGAAGGTCCTCAGGCTGCCCTGAATGGGAGGTCCTGGTGGGGTCAGGGTCAGGTAGAGAAGGGGAGGTCCTGGTGGGGTCAGGGTCAGGTAGAGAAGGGGAGGTCCTGGTGGGGTCAGGGTCAGGTAGAGAAGGGGAGGTCCTGGTGGGGTCAGGGTCAGGTAGAGAAGGGGAGGTCCTGGTGGGGTCAGGGTCGGGTAGAGAAGGGGAGGTCCTGGTGGGGTCAGGGTCGGGTAGAGAAGGGGAGGAGGAGGGCTCCTGGGCCTCACTTATTCTCCACTTGATGCCACAGGGTGTCATCCAGGGCACTGTCCCCTACCTGGGCACATTCCTCACTGATCTGGTGATGCTGGACACTGCCATGAAGGATTATTTGTATGTGAGTGAGCCTGGGGCTGAGGTGGATGGCCTGGGGTTGGGTCCTGAGACCTGGAGGGATAGCACCCCTGACTGACCCCTGAGCTCTGGCTCTCCTAAGGGTTTCAAGTTTATCTTACATGCCGAGCACCTCGTCCAGGCTACATGGTGACACCCTCTTCATCCTCCCCCACCCCCCAGCTGTCTGATGAAAAGCTGTGGGTAAGGGTTGGCCAGGCTGGACATGCATTACGCTCAGATTGTGACTGTAGGCAAGGGTGAAACTTGACCCTCCAAGGTTAGACAGCATGTAGACCAAGCAAGGCCTTCTTACTAGAAGCCTCCATTGTCTTCAGAGAGGTGTGCCCATGAACCTCTGTCCTCTGATCCCCCAGCCCTGCCTAGGGCCCCATGTGGGTGTGCCCTGTCCCCTAGTGGGCATTTGTGGTAGTGCAGAACAAAGTGGGCAGGCCTTGATGGTAGAGGGGGCCCCTTTCTGATGGACACTGGCCGTCTGTCTTCCAGGGGAGACTGATCAACTTTGAGAAGAGAAGAAAGGTAAGTAGCAGCTGCTGCCTCTGCAGGGTGGACGTGGGGGACCTGGCTCCATCCCTGCCTTGATTTCTGGAGACGTTTGGTTCAAGGGGAGGTGGGGCTGGGAGTTGGGATCTAGGACAGCTGTTTGGAGAGTGGCTGTTTGGACTCACCTCTGAGAACAGGAAGGAACCTGGGTGGGTATATGGTGTCGGTTGAGCAGAGACCCAGAGGCTGGCCCTGGCCCCATCCAACACCCCCAAAGGCCCATCACCACCCTGTCCTCCCTTGACCCAGGAATTCGAGGTGATTGCCCAGATCAAGCTCCTGCAGTCGGCCTGCAACAATTACAGCATCACCCCTGAGGAGCAATTCAGAGCCTGGTTCCGGGCCATGGAGCGACTCAGTGAGGCTGAGAGGTGAGGCTGGGCAGGCCCCATGGCAGTGAGCATGGGCTGTTCCTGGCCCAACCCTGTCACATGGTTGGGGGAGCCCAACCTTGACCCCTAGTAGCCTCACAGCCACCTCTGCCTTAGCTACAACCTGTCATGCGAGCTGGAGCCCCCGTCCGAGTCAGCCAGCAACACCCTCAAGACCAAGAAGAGCACAGCTATTGTTAAGCGCTGGAGCGAGTAAGTGTCTGGGCCCAGGGGTGGGCTATGGGCTAGGAAAGCCAGCCAGGCCGGTGCTGGGGTCCTACCCCATCACTGGCCAGCCTTGTCAGTCACAGGATGAGTTGTATCAGCACTCTAGGCCTCAGTTTCCCCCCTCTGTCAAGTGGGGTGTTCCCTCAGAGATCCAGGAAGAGCACAGAACTGGTGAACCCAGCACTTGGCCTGGTGCCCCAAGCTCAGCAGTTGGGGGTGGCACCCTTCGGGAGGCCCCACAAGTAAGCCTGCTTCTTTATCCAGCCGCCAGGCCCCCAGCACAGAACTCAGTACCAGCGGCAGTGCCCACTCCAAGTCCTGTGACCAGCTCCGGTGTGGCCCCTACCTCGGCAGTGGGGACATCACTGATGCACTCAGCGTGCACTCGGCCGGTTCTTCCAGCTCTGATGTGGAGGAGATCAACATGAGCTTTGTCCCAGAGTCTCCTGATGGCCAGGAGAAGAAGGTGACTGCCCCTGTCCCCCCAACCCCTCTGTAGTCCCAGCCTTCCCCACACTGTCTACTGCAAGGGGCCCAGAAGCCCCTTCTCCTTAATGCAGGTTTTAGAAGTCCCAGAAGCCAGGCTGGAGAGATGGCTCAGAAGTTAAGATGTGTAGTGCTCTTAGAGGGCCCGTATTCATATGCCAGTACCCAGGTTAGGCACTTCATAACTGCCTGTAATTCCAACTCAAGGGGATCTGATGCCCTCTTCTGGTCTCTGCAGGGAACACACACGCACACACACAAATACACATGTAATTTTTAAAAAGCCTTAGCTGGGCGTGGTGGCGCACGCCTTTAATCCCAGCACTCCGGAGGCAGAGGCAGGCAGATCTCTGTGAGTTCAAGGCCAGCCTGGTCTACATAGTGAGTTCCAGGACAGCTGGGGCCACAGGGAGACCGTGTCTCAAAAAGACAAAAAAAAAATCCCTGAAGCTTGCTGCCAGCCTGCAGTGCCCCATGTGACCCGGGCTGCTGCTGACATAGCCATCCCCCACAGTTCTGGGAGTCGGCCTCCCAGTCATCCCCAGAGACCTCTGGCATCAGCTCAGCCTCCAGCAGCACCTCCTCCTCATCAGCCTCCACCACGCCCGTGGCCACTACACGCACCCACAAGCGCTCTGTCTCAGGGGTCTGCGGCTACAGCTCCTCGCTGCCGCTCTACAACCAGCAGGTGGGCGACTGCTGCATCATCCGGGTCAGCCTGGACGTGGACAATGGCAACATGTACAAGAGCATCCTGGTGAGCCAGCGACGGGACATCCCCATGGTGACTCTGACCAGGTGGCGGGACATCCCCATGGTGACTCTGACCAGGTGGCGGGACATCCCCATGGTGACTCTGACCAGGTGGCGGGACATCCCCATGGTGACTCTGAGCAGGTGGCGGGACATCCCCACAGTGACCTGCTGACCAGACAGCAGAACATTCTCAAGATGCCCACTCAGCCAGGCAGTAGGATGTCCCCACATTGGCAGGGCAACCCCACTGTGCCCTACTTGGCCAGCAGCAGACATAGATGGAACCCCACATGCTGCCCCTGCCCTCCTAGTAGTTTTAGGACAGGAATACTGGAGAATCCCACTCAGTGTTCATGGGAAGCAGAGTGCCCAACCCCCGTGCAGGAGTGGCCTGTGGGTCAGCCCAGCTAGGGAGGAGGCCTGAGGTAGAGGGGCAGAGGCTGGGGGAAATGAGGTCAGAGAATGGGCTGGGGCCCCACTCAGCACTGTAGGACTTTGGAGGACAGTGCAGCCCCTAGAAGCTGAAGCAGAGGCCAGCAGTAATGTGGGGGTCTCCATGAACTGACTAGGCCAACATGCCTGCTTCCTTGTATGATGATTCTAGATCAGGTCCCTGCTGCTGCCTGCAGTGCAGGGAGGATGCTTAGGAGGTTACTGTTGTGATCCAAGCAGGGACAGAGGTTACGGCAGGCTAGTGCCCATAAGGGAGGCAACAGCTCAGAGTGTGGGTGTTATACAGGATCTGCTCACAGCATAAATGGGCATGCACGGAAGACCCTTCTCATCCTCCAGAACTCTGCCTACAGATGAGTGCTTTGTAGCCCTGCCCTCTCTCACACTGGGCAGATACCCCACCATACACCACCCTGACCCATCCTCAGTCCCTCACTGCAGGAGCTGGAGTGGCTTGTCATTAGCAGTCACCTGATTGACCTGACCCCATGACTCAATCCACCTGAGCTCTGACCATCAGGGTTGAGGCAGTTGGGGGTCTAGCCTGTGCTGTCCAGGATTGTAGCGTCTGGGCCGGGCAGGCCTGGCACTGGGTGGTCACTGGGCATCAGCCGGCTTCTCCTCTCTTAGGGTTGGACTAGAAGCTGTCAGTTCCTCAGGCTCATTGATACTATCGTCCCCAAGGGGCACATAACTCTCCTAAGGCCATCCTAAGGGAGCAGAAGCTGAGGGGCACCCTAGGTGGGTCCCTGGCCACTGTACCCGAGGAAGCACTCCAGGGCCTTTGTCCTGATAGCCTGTTCCCTGCTTCAATGCAGGTGACCAGTCAGGACAAGGCCCCAACTGTCATCCGAAAGGCCCTGGACAAACACAACCTGGATGAGGATGAGCCAGAGGGCTACGAGCTGGTGCAGGTCATCTCAGAAGATCGCAGTGAGTCAGATGATGCCAATGGTAGAGGGGAAGGTCAGCTCTATCCCAGCCCCAAGCCCAAGAAGGCATAGCAACAGGGAAGGGTGGGCATGGCACCCACAGTGATCTGCCCCAGGGGAACTCTTGACACCCCGGGGTCTCCTCACTACCCCAGCATGTGCTGGGCCTCTTCATCCGTGTCCTATCCAGGACACAGCTGAGTAGTGTGTAAGGTGAGGGTCAGTGAGGAATAAAGAGAGAACATTGTTCAGGGGGTCAGGGTCAGGGACAGGGCTGCCTAAGATGAGAAGGGATTGCTTCAGAAAGGATTGGCACATGCTAAAACCCATACGGTGTGACGCTGTAGGGAACCAAGCCAGCATTGTAGAAACTGGGAGAAGGATGGACTCCAGAACAAGCCCAGGGTGGGGAGATGACTCTGGTTAAGAGCACTCACTGACTGCTCTTCCAGAGGACCTTAGTTCAGACCTCAGTATCCACATCAGGTGGCTCACAACCACCTGTAAATCCAGCTCCAGGAGGATCTGATGCCCTCTTCTGACCTCCATGGGCACTGCACTCCTGCACATACCCACATACAGACACACATACATGTAATTGAAAATAAATGAACAAGCCCATCCTTAAGGACCTTGGGACATTCCAGACTCTGTGCTCATGTCCCTGTGCCCAGAAGGAGACTTGCATCAGCGAGTTAATCCTAGAGACAAACACGTGGAAGTACATGCACCACAGAGGTCACCTGTGCGTGTTGTCACCATGCTGCGGATGTGAGCCAAGCTCCCCTCCAGTCAGCACCGACTCTCATGACGCTCCAGAGGTTGAACTGCAAACCCTCTTGTATCCTCTTGCACCATTTTGGTTATATGGGTAGAATGGTGGGAACCCCCACCACCTTGCAATAAAGTGGCCCCCCTGAAATCCCAGCAAAGTGCCGTTGGTCAGTACTGCAGAAGCTCAGGACCTAGAATCAAACAGGGTCAGCAGGAGCACTCGTCCAGCGTGGTACCAATGGACAGAGTCTAGGCCAGAGGAGACTGGTGGAAATAGCCCAGAGGAAGGGCTTCCGGGGTGTGTGGAGCCCTGGGGCAAGGCCTGACTTGTTCTGGTTTTGGAGCCCTTGTCCACAGTATGGCAGCATTGGGGAAGGTGGTCTGGATTCTAGAAAGCCTGTTCTGGCTGGAGCTGTGACCAGCAGCGGTGTGGGTGAAATGGAGTCATTGGCTAAAGTCCTTACGTCTCCTCAGTTTCTCAGCATCGTCTGTCCCCGGGTGGGAGTCACAGGAGTGGTCCTCAGTGATTATGGAGCTGGACTAGAGGGCCCTTGGGGCCTTGATGAGGCCTGGCCTAGAAGGCTCTCAAGTGGTAGGGGTGTTCCAGCCTGTGAGCACCACTCACTGTTCTGCTTATCTCCCCCCAGAGCTGAAGATCCCTGAAAACGCCAATGTGTTCTACGCCATGAACTCGACCGCCAACTATGACTTTGTCCTGAAGAAGCGGACCTTCACCAAGGGGGCGAAGGTCAAGCATGGAGCCAGCTCCACCCTCCCTCGCATGAAGCAGAAAGGGTTCAAGATCACCAAGGGCATCTTCTAAGGACACCTCCCAGGGTCTGGCTGACCTCAGGCTAAGCACTTAGAGACTAGAGTGGCCCAGGCCGCACAGGTACCTCCACCCACCTGCCAGCCCAGGCCACCTCCAGATCCAATTTCACCACAGACCTGTCCTGCTGCCGGGATTGACACCTGCCATTGACAGGCTGACCTGGCTTCTGGGGACCACTTGCCGCCTTAGGTGCCTTCTGCTCTCTGGAACCAGAGGACTAGCTGACTTTTGCCAAGGAGTGCTGCCAACTGGGCATGGTACCCTGCCTGCCCCTGGGCACTGCCCTCCACACACTTCCCTGACACCTCCCCAGGTGCAGGTCACTGCCACCCATGCCCGAGAGCGCTCCAGGGCACTCACTCAGCTAGCGGGGCCGATCGCTCACTGCAGTTCTCTCCTTGTGCCCATGGGCACTGGACTGGGACCTTCACTGGGGTCCTGGCCCTCCTCCAGCGCTCTAGCCTGTGTCAGGCTGCACCAAAGATTCCACCTTCAGGGCCAGCAGAATGAGGGGTGAGCCTACCACAAGCCCCCACCCTCCCACTGACCACCCCGCTGGTGTTGAATCCCAGTGGCCCTCATGAAATCCCATCAAAGTGCCATTCGTCACTGCATCCTGGGCTGCGAGACCATGGGAAATGGGGTTGGGGGAGGGGGTAATGGGGGTAAGGAGGACTTTGAGGGGAGGAGGAGGGGGACTGAATATTTGTATAAAAAGTAAAATGTTTACTGATGGGGTGGGGCAATATTTATTTGTTGTAAATAGAAAATGCTAGACTTGAATATTATATTAAAATCCTGTTTCTACTACAGCCTGGTCACTGGGGTCTTGTTATTCATTTCCTGTGTTCTCAAACTCACAGCACTCTGCCAGCCTCTGCCTCCCAAACATGAATGCTGCAGTAAAAGGCATGTGCCACGCATGTTATTAGCAACTTGCTTTTCATGTTGAAATAACTCAGAGGGGAAGTGGGCTGGAGAGATGCTCAGTGGTTAAGAGCATTGACTGCTCTTGCAGAGGACCCTGGTTTGGTTCCCAGCACCCACATGGCAGCTCACAGCCATCCTTAACTCCAGTTCCAGAGGATCTGACACCCGCTTCTGGCCTCGGCTGGTGTTGTGTGCACATGATACATATGCAGGCAAAACACTCATACACATTTTTTTTTTTTTAAATCAGAGGGCTCTGTGTGGTGGTACACACCTTTAATCCCAGCACTTGAGAAGCAGAGGCAGGCAGATCTCTGTGAGATCAAAGCCAGCTTGCCTACATAGTGAGTTCTAGGCCAACTGGGGCTACAGGGAGACCCTGTCTCAAAAAAAAAATGTGGCGGGGAGCGAGCTGCACATAAGCATTCATCTCTGCTCCCTGCTAGGCACATAGTGCAACCAGCTGCCTCCTGTCCAGCTTTCTCCACCATGATGGACTGTATCCCCGCAAACTATGAACCCAAATAAACCCTTCCTAAGGTTGCCAGGTGTCCTGTCACAGTGATGAGAAGAGTAATTGACACACTACCTGACTTCCATACTGGACAGACAGACAGACAGACAGACAGAAGCTCCAGGGGGAGAGAGAGGACCTGATCAACGCTAGAAACTAAGCCTAGCAAACAACGCGAATCAACAATGTTCACACAGAATTTCCTCCAGGACAGACCATGTTTTGGGTCACAAAACAAGCATCAGGGTTGGTGAGGTGGCTCAGTGGGTAAAGGCAGCTACCATCAAGCCTGACAACCTGAGTTCAATCCCTGGAGCCCCAGGTTGGAAAGAGAGAACTGACTCCCACAAGTTGTCCTCTACGTTCACACTGGGGCATGTGCACACCCATGCACATGCACACAGACAAAATGTAAAAAAAAAGTGTTAATGCATTTTAAAAGATGGAACTAGTGCAGACTATTTTTCCAACTAAGAAGACTTAAACCAGAAATCAACCGGAATACTTATAATTACGTGAAAATTAACACATTACCAGATGGGTCAAAAAAGTCACAAGGGAAATTAACAGATAATGAAAACAAAAACCACAGCACACCAAAATTTAAGGCACACAGTGAAATAAAAAACACCCTCAAGCAGGCATGGTGGTGCATGCCTTTAATCCCAGCACTTGGGAGGCAGAGGCAGGCGAATCTCCATGAGTTCAAGGCCAGCCTGGTCTACATAGTAAGTTCCAGGACAGCTGGGGCTACAGGGAGACCCTGTCTTAAAAAGACA